AGACTGTTCAGTTATGACAGCACTGAAGAAGAGAGGTGCCCAGTCCTCATACTTACAACCATTACATCCTCATGATCAAAATTCAGACCCTTGGCAACTGGCATGGATTTATGACAGTTGCACTATTTGCTTCACTATCTGAAAAGCAAAGTGATCGGTGGGGCCTCCAGATTCATTTAATGACTGTGTGCTTTGAATGATTTGCTGCATAGCAAAAAAAAAAGATTGTGAAATCAGGCACAACTTAACAATCACCTTGCTTAGCATCGGTGTCAATTATGGTTATAAGTCAAGGACTACCTGTACCCTTATATTAGAAGGCAAACAAAGCAATCGTCTGTAGATCACTTTCTCTTCCAGTAATACCTTTGGAGCCTAACTGGGAGGTGAAGACGCATCCGTGGGCAGAACACTTTTTTCAGGTGCCAAGTTGCTGATCCACAATTTTTTTCTTTCCTCCTGTGATCTGCAAGTTCTGTGCCATGAATGAGTCACCATAACAGATTCTCAACTTCTTTCCAACTCATCTTTGGTTGCAAGATTTTTATTTTGTTTTTGTTTTTAATTTTAAAAAAAGACAGGGAAAAAAAAACACAAAACCACGACAGAACCAAATGAAAGAACAAATTAAAAAAGCACTCAGAATATTTGTTACATTATCATCATCATTATTTTTTTTTCAAGTCACTTCTAAGCCCCACAGTTACAAATAAATTAACAAGACAGGATCAGACCCCGGAAGATTAAAAATTTAAAAAAAAAATGAATACTAGGAACTAACTACCTTTGGCAAAGTTATCACACGATTTTCCCACTGCTCCCAGGTCGGCTACAGCAACAGGCCAGTCATGTTGGGGTGGTGTCGGCAAGAAACTGGGTTCTAGTACAGCATCCTTCATGCAAAAAGCCAGCCCATTTGATCCACTCCTCTAGGGCTATCAAACTGACTGACCCTCCTGGGCATATAAACAAGATTCCCTTTTTTCACATTAACCTCCACACCGATCAGAGTTTGATAGAGAGCAACCTGGAGAAGCCAGTTCATGGAAGGCAGAAGACCTTCCATTAGACCTGAACATGGTCCCAGTCAAGGTTTCTAAAGGAGATTCGTGTCCAACGAGAAACAGAAAGCCCAGCTCCAACTTTCTTTGATACAAAAATGCTCTTGCATCACAGCTGAATTCCAGCTATCCTCCAATTTCACCCTGATGTACGAAGTGCCAGTTACATCGGGGAAGCGAGGCCCACAGAGCAATGTCCAGCCCCTAGTGTGTCTTTTTTTTTTCCTTCCCCATTTTCACGTCTTCGTGGACGCAGTCTTCAGTCCTTGTCATGGTTCCATCTTAGCCACGTTGTCCTTTTCCAGGTTGATAGATAGAAGCTTAACTGAACAGATCAGATTTCACTGGACCTGGGCTGTCCTCCTGATTTCCCCCGATAGGGTGAGAGGAATGCTGCACCTGATCCCCCACCGCCCCCAAACAGACCTGCACGGCACACACCCTTAATAAAGCTTTTCTATTTGGTTTATCATTAAAGTATATGAGGTATATGGCGGGCTATCTCCAAAGAGCCTTGTGGTGGATGTCTTGGCACTGTAAGGAGAGGGAGGGGGTGGCTAGCCTGTCTCCCTCCCTCGTGCCCTCCCCCCAACCCTGGGACGGGCACTGGCACGGAGGCATGTGAGCAAATATTTGGTTTGACAGCTTTGGTTTTTACTTTATTTCCTTCCTCGCTCTAAAACTCCTAGGAGTGTGGAGGGGAGCTCAGCAGAACAAAGAGATGCAGCTATTTTTCAAGCATCTTTTTTTTTTTAATAAACCAGCCAATTGAAGAAGTATGTGGACTAGAGAGAGGTATAATTGGTTATGGACTTTGACCTACCAATAAAAATCATCGGCCAATTTAAAACTAAAGACCAGGCCGTCTTTCTCTGGATCCATCAACCTCAACCATCCCTATAGCAAAAGTCACCAAAAAAATCACCAATTTGGTAGGGGAGACAGTGATGCCTCCCACATCTCCTTTCCTAAAGCTAAAGCCAGACAACCTTAAAAAGAGGCATCATATCTACAACCTGCTTGTGTATATTTTCTTCTGTCCCACTCTGGTCAAACATTTGGCTGGTTTTTGAAGGCCAAAGAGGGAGCGATTACCAGCCACCCTCTTTTTTTTCTAACCTTTTTCGTCTTTCTGAAAAAGCTGCTGCTCCCACTCGTCTCCAGGTTGACAGCAACCTAACCTACTTCCCAACATCCTTACTTGCCCTATAAAATCTTGACGGATTTTCCCTCCACGCCCGTTCAACCACCACTCAGCTCCATGCATGGAGATAGGGTCATTTTTGGTCTAGAATCAATTCTTTTTTTAAAATAAAAAAACACATTTTGGTTTTTGGTATTTTTTTTGTTTGTTTTTTGTTTCGTTTTTTTCCCTTTTTATCTTTTTTTTGTTGCAAACCTTTAGCGTTTGTTTTTTGTCTTTTTTCTTAATACAGTAAGAAGCGATAAAGCGGAACATAGAATATTCTCTATTAAAAAAAAATAGATACCCCCCAAAAAGTAAAAATGAAAGAAAAATAACAAAGATCACTAAAACAGTTACATTCCACCTAGAAACACGTTCAGTAGCACATGAGAGAGAGAGAGAGAGAAAGAGAGAGAAAATGAGAGAAATATTTCTCTCCAATGTTTCTTTTTTTCCCCAGATGTCCACCATTATACCATAACTGAAATCTTAAAAGGGCTGAATAAATACTTGGCGGTTCTCTCTCACTCACGCACAGAATGGGATGAAAACTTTTCTTTTTTTTTTCAAGTCAGTCTTTTAAACTAGGTGTTTCCTGGGTTTTGTTTGTTTGTTTGTTGTTGATTTGTTTGTTTTGGAAAGTTTCACAGTATTTTTTTCTCTTTTGTTATCTCAAACCCACCTGAACGTTAGAGCACAGCAAAAGCAGGAGATAAAATGAGGTTGAGGGTTTTTTGTTTCTGTCCTTTACGAAAGGTTTCAAAGTACTTTTTTTTTTGTTTGCTTGTTTATCTTTTTTTTTTACTCTGTCCTTTTTGTTTGGTTTTTGTTTTCTACCAGATCGCAGTATGCCATGGCTAACTTCCTTCTCTGCAACAGCAAAACTTTGGTTCGCAGGAGTTGAAAATAAAAGACAGACATTCAAAGAGCCCCCAAAACATCAATTAACCCACCCAACGTATTAAAAAAAATATATATCCCAAACCATCCAGTTAAAACGAAAACAAAGAAGACCAAGAAAAGAAATGTACAAAAAAAAGTTTAAAAACAAAACAAAACAAAGTAAGTGTTTTGAGAAGCCATTTTTAAAGCTTTCCAGACTTCCGGGAGAAAGTTACAGAATCTTCTGATCTTGCCCTCCCCACTTCAGTTGATTTGGTTTACTTATTTATTTGTCTCTTTGCCATTTATAAAATTTTGGCTTCTCAACACAACTTTCCATGAGGTATTTTTTTTTTCAGGACAGAGAAAGACGGTTGAGCCATTTTGTCTTAACCAGAGAAAGTAAAGATGTCCCCTTTATTCCCACACATTTTCATCCTTTCTTCTTCATTTAAAAGTTTTTTTGTGGTTATTTCTTTTAGCTTCTTTTGTTTGCTTGGTTGGTTCTTTTTGGTTAAAAGTTTCTCTCGCCTCCGAGTCTCTGTGATACCCACTTTCTGAGAAGAATTTTTTTTTTATCCCTCTTTTGTCTTTGCTTTTATTTATATTCCCCAGTGGTCTTCATTTGGTTGTTTTCTGTAGTGATGTCTATCAATTTTTGGTTTTTTTTCTGAAAAATGTAAAGAATGCTGAAATTTTTTTTTGTTTTGGTTTTTGTCAGGCACTGGAATATGAGTATTTTTTTTTCAGAACACAGCTATAAAAATAATAATAACAATAAAAATAAAAAACCACACATCCCCTGTTTTCAAAAAAATAACCCCTGATACTAACCCCAGGCAAAACCAATTAAAAACATTTTTTTAGCTAAGCTCAATAGAAAATTAAAGCTGGCAAAGAAAAGGTTCAAGCTGATAGAAAAAAAGCAAAGGTTTAGTGCTGCCCATCCTTAAAAATTTGAAGACTGTGACTTTCAATAATGCCTCTTGTCCTGCAAAAAGTACTTACATTATAGACCCTCTGAGTAGCCCTGCTAATAGTAATAAAGTAATTCCAGCCGGACGGAACTCCTTCATTCTTATTGTAGGAGGGAAGTCTTTGAGAGACACAGAAACAGGCATTGCAAATATCTGGGTTTTGATGCATCAAATGCCTGCAATGTATCTCAAAAGGGACTTCAACAAAGAATTTTTTTTTAAAATGGTTCCCCACCTCTTTCTTGCTTCAAGCCCCAGAGAACTAATATAGATTTTGGCTGGCAAGTAATCTGAATTTTGTGATCACAAACTCCTTTAGTGGAGCCTATCCCAGGGCTGATTAATCAAATAACCTCTTTGCAAACAAGATGCAGCAGAAATAATTTAAAAAACAACTCATTGCAGGACATCAATCAAGAAACCAGTTTCCAGAATGGGAACCCGGTGTCTGATTTTCATTATTGCCTTTGAAAATCCTAGCCTTCATTTCTTATAAGAATCCCCCTATTTGTATAAAGCTTCTTATTTGTTTCATTAAAAAAAAAGAGAGAGAGCAAAAAAAAAAAAAAAAAAAAACCAGAAACATTTGTTAATCATTTAAAAAATAAAGAAAATATTTATAGGAAGATCCTGAAATTAAATCAATCCATTCTTTTCCTGCCCAAACTCTTTCTGGATCCAAGGAAAAGAGAAAGAATAAATAAGAATAAATAAAAGCATTTTGAAAGACATTCGACCAGACACTGAAGATAGAAAAGTTTGTAAAAAGCTTTGGGTGAAGCTAGAACTGGTGATTTTTGGTGTGAGATCTGTATTCCCCTTAAGGATTTTTAAAGGTTCTTTTAAAAGTATTTTTTTCTTTTTTCTTTTTTTTTTTACAAAAAAAATATCCCCATTTATTGGTTTCCTTTCTGATACTGTCCAGGAAACGAGCAGATGAGAAAAAAAAACATAAATCATTAAAAAAACCAAACAGACCATCGACTGTCACCTTTTGCAGAGGGGAAAAACAAATGAATGCCAAAGGTTTGGGGAACTTTTTTTTTTTTTGGTTTCTTCCTTTTTTTCCCCTTTTTGCTTTGCTTGTTTGCTTATTTTTTGGTTTTGGTTTTTTTTTTGTTTTTTTTCGTTTGGCTGTTGCTGACATTTCTATGTTTGGTTTTGGTGATTTTGGTTTGCTTGGGTTTTTTGTTTTGGTTTGGTTTTTGGTTGTTGTTTTTTTTTGGTTTCATGTGTCGGTTTGTACGTCCACTCCTGGCTACCCCCGCCATGTCAGAAAAGGCAGCGTGGATGCTCCTGAGTCCTCACTCCGTCTTGGCATCCGGTTCGGCGGATCCAGTTCCAGCTTGCCCCATTGTCTGCACCATGTCACTGGAGGAGCTGCATGAGGAACAAGAGGAGGAGGAAGAGGAAGAGGAGGAGGAGGAAGTCAGGGTAGGGGACTTGCTAGGCATAGAAGCAGCCACGGCAGCAGCTGCTGACACCAGCCCCACGCCTCCGGGGGCAGCACTCAGCAAAGGCAGGCCCGCGTGGTTGAGGAAGAGCGGCGAGGTCACGATGCTCTGGCTTCCAGTTGTGCCTGCAGTGGTACCCAAGACTAAGTTACCACTGGCATCAAGGCTGGTAATTGGCAGGCTTCCACCACTGGCCAGGGCTATGCAAAGAAAGAGAGAGAAACATTGGTTAGGCCACATCAGCAATGGCTTCCCGTCCTTGGCCTTGGGGGTCAATATAGAATTGGTCCAAAGAGAGACATTGCCAAGTTTGCCCTCTGAAGGACAATCTTGCAGGAAACCATTCTTATCACCTTCTTTTAATGACCCCATAATCCATTGCGGGGTGGAGTCTGGGCAACCGAATAGAGCTGAATGTTTACTGGCCGGATGCCCTTCCTGTCGCCAGTGCGGAGTTTTGTTCAGCAGATATATCCTCATTGTGCCCAGAGAGAGAGAAATATCTGCCTCTACCTAGGATCGAACTCACGGCCTCCTGATTGTGAGGCGAGAGCTCCACCTCTAGGCCACCGCACCACTCACAGGAAACCATTCTTATCTTTGCAAAAAAAAAAAAAAAAATGCTTTAAGATGCTTCCTCTCTGGAGACTCTTCTCCCATGTCAAAAAGACAGGTATTAATTGAAATGGCACTTCCTTGCCCCCCTCCCCGCTCTGTTACTTCTCTCCCCCAACATGATTCACACGGAAAAGATGCATGATGTGGGAAGACAGGTTGCACGATCAATGGTTAGTCATATATGATATGAGGCATGTAATGGTGCGTGAAAAGCCTTCTGATATGTGCAAATTCAAGATGGAATGGAGAAAGACCTCAAGATGAATGAGAGAAGGTTGTGAGGGACTCCACCGACCGGCTGCACTCTCACACACCTGTACTACACTTGCACACCAGCTCACAAGCAATCTTGCTGTCTTAGGTCAGACCAAGAGGTGTAATTCAGTAAATGCCTCCTTGAAGGAGGAAATGACATGTTCTACCTTTAACGTTTCTATCTGCACAATCACAAACAACTGCCAAAGATCTTAGGGGAAGCAGGTTACCTGGGTTATTTTCAGCCAGGATTCGTATCAGGGTCCTGGCTGAAAAAAGAACCCAGATAATCAGCTTTCCCACACCAGGGGTCAGGCTGGTAGAAACGGCATTGGTCGCTCCTGTGGATGATACTCTGTCTTGCCAAGCCCAACCTCCAACCATCCCCTAAGGATCTCCACAGCTTCTCCTGTTTAATTCCAGGTGGAGATCCACAACTGGGAATCATCCCTGTTATTTGTTCATTTGATTTAAAGGCCACCTGATTCCAAAACGACTCTGGTGGTTTACAATTACAACAGAAAAAAGCACCGATGGGTTTGGATAAGCCACACGTGTTGAGGATGCCTTATTTCGAACCGATGGAGAACCTTCCCCGTTGGCTTCTTATATATGGGGTACACCTTAAATATAGGTGGTACTCATGCATTTTCTTTTATCCTGTAGGTCTCAGCTGCTTCTGACATCCCTGTCTATTCTATTCTCCTAGGCTGGTGGGGGATAAACAGTCGAGTCTCTGGACCCTTTCATAAGGCTTGGTCCTTATAGATAGTCCTCAACTTAGGGCCACAAAATGAGCCCGGAATGACATCCGTTAAGTCGTTGCAGTTGTGAAGAGGATCCATAGTTATTTTACCACCACCACCCCCAAATCACACAAGCAGGTGTGCGCAGCCATCCACAGACGTTGCGCGCCCAACGTGCAACCTCTACAAACTCACATCCGTTCCTTCGCACACTTTTTCTCCCACGCCACAGCAAGCCAGTGGAGTGGGGAGTGGATGGCAGCCACGACACCATGGGTATTTTTTGTTTTTTGTTTTTTGGTCTTTTCTTTCACAAACCTTGTATGGTGGCCAGTGGGTTGGTGGCCATTAGCGCTGGGTTTAACCCTGCATTCACCCCTAGCACTGTGCTTCTGCAAGCAAATCAAAGGCAGCAAAGTTAAAGTGGGGGCTTCGGGGGGTGGCAAAGAGGATCGCGCTTTTGTCACCCACCCACCCACCCACCCCATGCCCATTTTTTCCCCTCTCCGGTGTGTGTCCAGGAATGCATCGGTAGGATCCAACTTACAACGGCCGAGTCAATGTGGGTTTTATGTCTTGCCCTCTGGGGCAGAGGATTCTCTTGCTTGAGCAGGGGGTTGGACTAGAAGACCTCCAAGGTCCCT